TAATATATTATTTCTAGTAAGTCTTTTAATATCAGTTATGAAAAACATGAATGGGAAGAAAAACATGTTTCTCATGTCTGTTTGTGGGTTTCTTATTAGCATCCAGTTAACCACGGAAAGCCAAAATGGTTTTTCTTTTGTTTTTAAATATGCTACTAGTGGTTTTTAGCTAAAGAGGGAAACATGATAGCCAACAGCTGGAATATCACATACAATGCAGCATCCTGCTAAATATGATTTTTGTATGACTGTAAGTCGCCTAGAATCGCCTCAGTGAGATGAGCAGCATACAAGTTTAATAATAAGTAAATAAAAGCATATTCACGGTATAATAACTTTTTGGAGTTAGGAATGGTCAAGATATATGAAAAGTACAGAATAAAAATCAAAATCACCTCATTGTTTGGTTTTTTTAAAAAAGTCATTCAGAGTCCTGTAGCTTAGAGCAAAAACTTCTGCCAGTGATCTACTACTACTTGACTTGTAAACTGATACACATCTGTTTCTTCTAACTGGAGAGTGAAGAGACACTGCTTTGACATACACAGCATCAAGTGCTAATGGCTATTTCCTTCAGTAGATTAAAAAACACCTGCAGTATCGAAATCAGAGCATTGACAAAGTTAGAGAATTCTGAAAGAATGAAATTACATTTTGTTCAGAAAGATTTTTTTCCAGTTCTGTAGTATATAATAATAATAATAATAATAAAGTTGGAAGGGACCTTGGAGGTCATCTAGTCCAACCTCCTGCTCAGGCAGGAGACCCTATATCATTTCGGACAAATGGCTGTTCAGTCTCTTCTTAAAAACTTCCAGTGTTGGAGCATTCACTGCTTCTGGAGGCAGGTTGTTCCACTGGTTAATTGTTCTAACTGTCAGGAAGTTTCTCCTTAGTTCTAGATTGCTTCTCTCCTTGATTAGTTTCCATCCGTTGCTTCTTGCCCTGTCTTCAGGCACTTTGGAGAATAGCTTGACTCCCTCTTCTTTGTGGCAGCCCCTGAGATATTGGAACACTGCTATCATGTCCCCCCTCATCCTTCTCTTCATTAAACTAGACATACCCAATTCCAGCAGCCGTTCCTTGTATGCTTTAGCCTCCAGTCCCCTAATCATCTTTGTTGCTCTTCTCTGTACTCTTTCTAGAGTCTCAACATCTTTTTTTTATAATATGCCCAAATAAACATTTTTTTTTCAACTGTTATCATCTGGAAAATTATATGGCTTAATGATACCTCTGCCGCCCACATGGCATACCTAACTAAGTACCAAAACACAGAAAGCCCTTTACTGCACATGTGTCATGTCCTCCCTACAGCTGTCTTTGAAGGGCAATACAGGAAGGTTCCTTACTCAGACAATGTCTTTGTGACTCTGGACACACACACAAATTACAGAGCCTGCACTATAGAAATGTTCATACACCCCATGTCACCACTGATACGTAAGTATCCAAGGTGCACAAAACAATTTTATATAGTCCTGTTGATTTCAGATATCAGCCCTACCACAACATACAGTGTTGCCAAGTTCTGTGCAGCAGTACTCAAAATTTGTCCAATGATGATCAGTGCCCGAGTTTCGACTTTATAAATTAGATTTGTGCTTTGTAGCTTTATAGTCTTCCATAAAAATGGCAGTTTTTTATGCTCCCCTACACCCATCTAATGCTCCTTCCCCTTCTTTTAGATTCTCATTTTTGTATATACTTTTAATGTGTGTGTATTATGTGTGTGTATTAAATTTTTGTATGCATACACATATGTGCATTTTCTGTATACACATATGTATGTGTATGTATTAATTTTTTAAATTTCATTCATGATGTATATTTCTAGACTCCTACCACCCTCCTTATGTTGGTCTATGACTATAATAAAGATTTGATTTGATATGGCCTAACAACTGTTTTGTGTTTACCGTACATAATTGCCACTTATCTTTATACAACTAGACAGGCATTATGATAGTTTTCTAATACATTTGGAGAGGACAGGATAAAGAAGATCTTAGAACAATCATAGAGGATAACTAAACTTATTTAGATATTAAAGAAAGCCAAGGCAGTTATTAAGAACTACGATAAGGAGCATGGGCTTGAAAATATATCCAGCTGGTGAACTTCAGATTAAATTGTTACTCTTGTACAGTGAAGCTCACATTTATGTTCAAAACATGTTTTGATGGCAACTGATGTCTCTGTTTTGGACCTCTAACCATTCATAGACAAGGCTGCATTTCCAATATTTTACTGAATGCAAGACACATATTTCCATGGAAGTCTTATATAAGAACCTTTAGAATCAACCCTCACTTAGAGATCCAATGAGCTGGAAGTAGTAATTTTGTCTGCTGTTAACTTGTCAAACGGGAAAGGAACAATGCAATTAAATGGAAATCATTGCTTGATATTCTGTCTGTCTGAAAAGCCAGTTTAATCTTACTTCTGAAACAATCCCATTCTGCTGAACAACATCTCCCACAGACTCATTTGTCAAATGACAGCAAAATAGTATTTGTGATAACTAGAATATTTTGTAAGGGTAAAATATATGATTTGTAAAGAAAAACCCTTCCCTTTAAATACTGGTAAATACCGAACAGCATGTTTCAGACAAAAAAAAGCAAAGGGGAAGATACTTTGTTGGGAAAGAAGGATACAACTACTGCTTTGCAGAGAACTCTTTAGTTGGAAGGATTTAAATGTTTTTATTCTTAGCCCAGATGATAGCAAAATAGTTATGCTGAACTATTCTATATAATGCAGAATGTAAATGTTTTAGTATGTAACAAATTGCAAAAGTGATAATGAGGCAACCATACGATAGCTAATAGGCTTGTCCATGATCTATTTTGCATCTTAGCTTTTCAGAAGATGAAGAAGAAATATCAAATATCAAGAAGGCAACAAGTGTACTGTTACAGATCAAAAATACCAAGAGACCATCTAATTATAATTATATCCCTTGAAGAGGCTGAAAATATAAACAAATGTGATGTATACAGCTTTAAAAAGGGCATGTAATCTACATTCTATACAACTGAACATATGGCTCATATGTGTACCTAGTCTCAACCTGCCCTTAATTAAGAGGGGAAAAGATGTCTACCTGTTCAAAAACTGAGGTACTATGCAGATCACACATCTATCTTTTTGTAATGTCTTTCCATTTTTCTCTAGCATAGAACAAAGGTTTTAGGTAATATTTCAAGATGTGCTAAGGCCAACAATGTTTTCATGAATTTACAGGGCAGCTAGATATTCTTTAATCATTTTATAATTTCTTGGAATCATAAACAAAGATTTAAAAAAAAAAAAACATTCCCTGCAAAAAAACTTTGTATGACTGCATAAATTTAAGCTACCGTAAGCTGGCATGCATATTGTAGATGTAAGATTCAAGAAGTACTGACCCCTGCAAAAGATCTATCCAAAAGCATTGCAAGAACATTTTTTGATGTAAATGAGATGAGATTGTAAGAGAAATAAAAATAATTTAGTTATCTCAGTGCCACTCAATTCTATTTATTAAACCTGGCCATAAAGTATCTCCTAACATACAACCAGCCCAAAAAACGTAAGCAAGTAAAAGACCATATAGTGGTGAAAGTGAGTGGCACTGGAGAGATCCTGATTTAAGTCTACCTTTAACCACTGAAACTCTCTGGGACCTTCAGCCGGTCACTCTCACCCAATCTACCTCAGAGGGTTGTTGTTTGGGGAAAATGGGAAGAGGAGCGCTATGTTTATCTTAAGCTCCTAACATGGGATATAATGCTAATACAGAGATAAAGCCCCAAATAGGAATGAATAGCTCAAACATCTTCATGGAGACATCAGTTTATAGATTAATGAAAACTTCAGATATATTGTGAAAATTACATGACTCAGAAACCATGAGTATATCATAATCCCCTTATATAAGGCTACGTTATGATTACACTTGGAGCCTATGGATCATTTTGATTTTTATATATAAAAAGGAATAATACAGAGCTCAAAAATGTGCAAAAAAGGCAACTAATGTGATCAGGAGGATGGAGTAAAAGATTGAAACACATGGAGCTTTTTAAAGCTGAAAAAGATAAATGGAAAATGACAAGAGACTTACGGAAGTTGATAGATATTTCCCCCCTCTTAACTTTTTATGAATTAAGATGAATCAATGCATTAAGAATAAATGTAATCCTTCTTCTTAGTGCACTGATTCATCTAACATTTGTACATATACCAAAATTAGATGTGGAACCTGTAACTGAAGTATGAGGTAATGATTGTCATTTTAAGTTGCTTAAAGACAAACTAAGCAAGTTCCTAGAAGCCAATGCTGTCAATATCTATTAAACACGAAAACTAAGCCTCTAAATACTTCCCTTAGATAGCTATACTAAAAGACAGTTATTACAGTGGTGTTCTGCTGGTCAATTTTTAGTGAACAGGTCTATCAATTTCAAACTAGATCCTGGAAAAAATATCATTTCATCAAAATGCAGAATTTTTCTTGCATTATTTTTTGACCTGCTCCTTGCATACCACATAGCTAGGCAAACAATCAACTGTCCTATGAAAAGTAGCTTCAGCATTCTGCATGACCTTTTAAGAATTACATAGAGCCAAATCTATTATAAGATGAACAAACAGAACCCCACCACCAAATTAGCATATAAAAGTCGAAAAGTATTACCAGTGACTTCTATTAGCTTTTGTTGTTACATTATGTATTTAATGTAATAGAAAATTACATTAAATAACTCATAAATAAAATAATAACATTAATGTTTAGAAATTTTGAAAAACGTAAATGTATGTTATTTGTCTGAAATAACTAACATAAATACGTATGTTAGTTATTTCAGACAAATACAAAGTTCCAATAATCTCTGGAAGTGCAAGTTTGTAATAATGTAGGGTTGCAAATTCAGGCCCATATAAAATTCTGCATGTGTATATGTTTCACTGACAGTTCTATGAAGTAGGAAATCCGTCTACATCAAACTCACCTTCCCTACAAAGTCGCATCGCTTCTCGGTTTTTACCATACTCCTTGAAATTTTCGTCCAAGGCTGCTCCTTTGAGGATGTAACAAACAAAAGAAAAATGTTAGTTTGTACTGTTCTTTTTAGAGTGTCAACTACATGGCCAATTATATTCTGATTACATCCAAAGCATTCAGTGCAACAATGCTATAAAATGTATTTGTCTTCCCATCTTACATAAAATGGTTTAAATTCCTTTGATAGGAAAAAAAATCTTAAAATACAAAAAGCATGTAGTAGATGCTTTCCTTCCTTCTTTAAAAGCAAGTGAGTACTAAGATAATATAAAGGATTTAATATGGCCTAGAAGTCAAATACTAAAGAAACATACGTTACAAAAAGAATTTTATTTTATAAGAATTAAAAATCAACTTTCTGCATATAACTTTGCTTTGGAACAAAGAAAATAAACTTCTCTACAATGCTCCTCAGCAATGAAATGCTTTCCTCTGAATATGAATTAGAGCGACATCCCTAGCCATTCCATCACTAGGTTCAAACACGTTCATTCAGGTATTTTAAAACTGATCTAGTGTTATATGCTCTTTTATTCTATACACTGAATTGGTGAATGGCCATAAACGCCCCCAAAATGTTAGTAGGTAATAATCATCGTCTGGAGAGAAGATCTCTTTCAAAACCTGACTCTGGACTTTGATACAACCATGAAATCAAATTAACAGCCACCATTTATTTAACAAGTGGCAGATTCACCTCATAGCTCCATTGTTTTTATTCTGAAAAGGACAGTTAGAATTCCTACTGTCAAACATTCTATCACAAACTGCTGCTCAAATCCTATAAGCAACATACATTTGAGGGGGGAAAAGGTTTATAAGGTGCATTCTCCAACTTCTCAAGATTAAACTAAATCTACTCTTCATTGAAGCCAAGACCAATGAGTGCTTGTCTCCAAAACTGCCAATACTGGAAGATGTTAAAATCTATAGGGTGGAAAAACCTAAAGATGGAAGGACCAGCTCTGTAAAGCTTCTGAAAGTTCACCAGCTTTCAATGAAAATAGGCATTTGATCAGTTGTCCCACATGCTGATAGATTATGGTCAGCCACTGTCTTATGCAGAGCAATTGTGCTATTGGAAGTCTCAGGTAATGCCTTCATGTAATGTATACAGGATGTGATGCATAAAGAAAAGTCCCTAAATATAAAGTTTATTTTAGCAGTGCTTTGAACCTAGTAAGAGGCCTTGATTTCACCACCTGAAGAGGTGGACATATCACATCGAGTCTTTGGTGCCAGAATATACATGCCAATATGGGCAATTTGAAATATTGCATGTTTTATGCAGGTTTGAGAGGAAAGGTTTTAGTTTCTACTCTTAATTCTCTTCCAAATAAAGTTTTGCAGGTAGTAGTTGCATTTTTGTTGCATGGCAAACTGCCTTATATTTCTTCTTGGTAGTATATTTTGTATAAGCTACCAGGAATTACATAATAATTTTATGTAGCCTATTTTTAAATTATTATAATTCTGCCTCTTATTTTGGCTGCTCAAAAATGCATGCGATAGACATTATGTATTACATCACAACTTTATTCCTGGTGCTCTGATATTTTTGATAACTTTCAAAGTCTGAAAAAATAGCTCATTCGGTATTTGGACGTATTAATACTTTCCATATTTTAACTTTTATTCACAAGCATGTCATAAAACATATCCAGATGATCATTTCTATCATAAGAATGATTTATTGGAGCACAATAACCTTCCTGCCTATTTACATTATCTTGTCTCATCTCCTTCTCCCTTGTAGCTAAGGAACAAGTAGGACACTTTTGCTTCCACTTTTAGTTTCAGTTCCTTCCACTTTTAGTTGCAGTTGCAGTTCTGAACCAGGAACTATAGTTAACATTAATAAACTTACCTAGAAATCACTTTGATTTATTTTAAATTCAACAGTGAAGCAACAATTTGTTGCTTCACTAAATGTGGCAAACTGCAGTTAATTAAAGTAAAAACAGAAGGACTGTGCAAACCCAAAGGACTGAGCTTGCTGATACCAAGTAACCCACAGTTAGCATAATGTTAAGCATAGCAAATATAACAAAAAAGTGGGAGAATCATCTGGTGGTCTAGTGCCATCAGTGTGTTAATGAAACTCATCCTGGGCCATGCTCTGCTCTTGATATCTTATTTTGGCGCTCTGGATCTGGATGGCCTAAAATTGAACCCTATCTAAACAAAGTGTCTATTTGTCCATTGTGGTTCTCTGGCTACTCCAGTGATGTCTTTCTAGATATGGAAGCACTATCCTGGAAGAGAAGGTTTACGATTTTGGGATCCTCCTGGACTCAAGACTCCAAGTTGAAGGCAGCTGGAGGCCATGACTGGGGCAGTTTTTGCTCAGCTTTGACTTGTGTGGCAATTGGACCCTACCTGAGGCAAGACACCTTGCTACAGTGACGTAAGGCCTCATTACCACTTACTTAGATTACCACAAAGCATTCTATTTGAGACTGCCTGTACTTAAATTACCACAAAGCACTCTACTTGGACTGCCTTTAAAGACCACTCAGGCATTTCATTTTCTCCAAAATGTAGCAGCTTGGGTACTATTTGGCACTTTCCAGTAGAAGTACAAACAGCTTTGGATTCTGTCCTGGCTTCCTATTGACATTAGGTTGCTTTAAACTAATATTAAGTGTTGTCATATTGTGGGATCAAGGAAATGTGCCCTCTCTGTCATGATCTTCACCCTCTGTAGCAGCATTTCTCTAGAAAGAAGGGCAGTGTCCTCCCTCCTAGGGTCCTGGAAATCACTTGAAACCTGGCTTTGGTTTAATATATTGGGGAGCCCTGTTTGATTTGTGTTACTTTGAAGATCCTTTTAGTCTGGGTTGTCTGTATGTGGTTTTATGTCACTTCTGTTTTTATGGATATTTTGGGTTTTGTACGCCACCCAGAGTCTTCTAGTGTTAAGTGGCTATAAGAAATTTGAATAAATAAAAATAACAACATTTAAAGGGATGGTGGTATCCTATAAAGCTCTTTATATTTCATACCACCTTATCTTCATTCATTAAAATCAGGCTGACCAATTTTATTTCACCCAGAAGGAACTAATGATTTCCCACTTTCAGAAGGTATAGGGGGAGGGGAAGCTCAGGGGTCTGCAATGGTCTCCCACTAGAGCAGGGGTGTCAAACTCACAATGTCACGTGACGTGTTATGACGTATCGCGACTTTTTTTCCATTGCTGGTGCGGTTTCAGCATGACGCATCCGGTCCGCGGGCCGGCAGTTTGACACTCCTGCACTAGAGTTTAGTTTAGCTCAGCTCCAACTTTTAACTGCCATCAGAAGCAGTTGCACATGTCTGTTATTCAGATATTTTGTTTTAAAGATGTTATTGTTTTAATACTGACCGTGGAAGTCTTTGTTTGTATATTTCTATAAAACCACTGGGAGTCCTGCGGAATGGTGATGGGCTATAAATGTTATGAATAAATAAAATCACATCCGCTAATGTTACATTAAATACTCTTGGAGTCTCATAACACTGATTTCTAATATAAATGGTTGTGTGATTTGAAGGAAGAATACAGTAGACTTCAAAAACCCACTGGAAACAACTTGCATTATGGGATGTCATCACAATAGAAACAAAAAAAACCAAGAAATAGGCAACTGCTCTCCTGTTTGCCCTGATAAATAAGTCGCAGGACTTACCTGAGATCTAGCTTTTTTTTTTTTTTTACTTTTTAAAGCGAACACCTCAAGAAGAGAGAAGGCCCTTATATTTAAACCTAAAATCTTTCGAGTGAAGCTGAACTCCTGTTGCTTTCGTACAAAAGCTCCATGCTGTTTTCCTGGCAGGAACGTGGAGATGAATGACCATTGTCTTCTTTCAGGACTTTTTTTTTTTTTTTTCTTCAAAAAATTAATTAATTAATTAATGAAATCCCAAACTACTCCAGTCGTAGCTCTGGAATTTCCTGGTGGTCTCCCATCCAAGCGCCGATCAGTCAAGCACACTTAACGTTTTCGTAATCACCCCAAGGTCAGTTAGGCACTGCCACCTGCCTGAGCAAGATTTACCGAGTGACCTACCTATCTATAAACCTGTGATACAGACTGAGGTGCGAGGTGGAGGAGAGAACACAAACAGGACCTTCTTGGCCAACTCTCCCTCCCTGCTCTCCCCCTCCTTCTTACTCTGGGACAGATTATCAGACAATTCCGGCAGGAGAGCGTCGTTAGGCGACCAGCTGTGTTAACCCTTCCGCTGCCGGCCAGACCCCCCTCCCCTCCCCCTCCCCCACGGAGCAGGGACTCCCGCTCGCTCGCCCGCTCGCTCACCATCGTTCCCGTGAAGTTTAGCAGCGTCGACCCAATGGCTCCAGGGCTGCCCCAGCATCGCCTCCGGGCTAGGCAAGGACCTGCGCTCCCCGACGGTCGCCATTGCTGCGCTGGTGGCGGTGGCTGTACTGGCGGGGATCGTGGCGGCGGGGCCGAGGCCGCTCTCGCCGCTGCCTCCTCCGTGCCGGGGCCGCCGCTGCTGCCTGCTGGCCGCCGCCGCCGCTCTGCGTTGCTCCCCTCTGACGTCAGCCGCGGCCCGCGCCGACATTCTTTCCGCTGCTACAATGTAACGAGAAAAGTCATCAGGCTCTTTTAAGGTGGCGCCGCCGCTTAAGGAAGTTCCCAGAGAATCCCCCGCTCGCCGAGCTGAACCGGGGCCGCCGCTACGGGCGCCGCGCAGGGAATAATAACAACGCGAGGCCTCCTGGCATCGCCTTTGTTTCCCATTAATCTCTCGGACGAGCCGGATGAGCCGTCGGGCGCGCTCGGCTCTCAGCTCGGGAAGGGCACCAGCATTCTTCCCCGCTGCCGCTAAAGAAAGGGAGGCGAGGCGGTCGACGCTAAGGCGGCCGTAGTCATCGGGGATCCCGACTCGGCAGCCACCCAGCCAAAGTGCTTCTCGGGAGCCCGCGGTTCGAATCCAACTAGGCGACCTCGTCCCCAGACGGCCATCCAAGCAACGGCCCCCGACTCAAGCGTCTCTCCTTCGCCCTCTCCCACATCGCCCTCCGCGCAGCCCCGAAGTCGCGAAACTCCAGCCAAAGGAAGTTGTTTATTTTAGGCGTCTCGGCAAAGTCCGGGGCGCATCACGCCGACTGCGCCCGCCTTCTTTCCTTTTTTTTCCTTTCCTTTCGCAGGCGACGGGGTCTTAAAGGGACAAGAGGAGCAAGCGCCGCTTCCTCCCCCCCCCCCGCAGCCAGGAAGTCCGGGCGGCGGTCGGCCCAACCTCAACGGCCGATGGTTTCGTTTTTCGTAAAAACGAAAAAATAAATAAATAAATAAATAAAAAAATCAAATCGACTCTTGACACGCGTCGCGCTCCGGCTGAACCCCACGCCCTTCGTTTTGCGCGAGTAGTCTCGGGGGTTTACTCTCAGGGCTACCTTAAGGACGAGACGCCTCCCTCCCACCTTAAAAGTTTTCACGTCAAAGCACAGGAACGGCGGCTGAATAGGAAACAAGCAGGAAACTAACCCCGTCTAGGCAACTCATCTCCCGCCCCCCCCCCTCCGCTCTCGCGGACACCTTCCTTCCACTAATGTCATCCACGGTCTTGCCTTAAAAGGTCTCATTTAATATTTAAATCGCTTCGCATCGATCCGCCAATAAGAAAAAGGAGGCGCTTGCTTGCTTGCTTGCTTGCAAAAAGTCGCCGAGGTGGTTTTTTTTTTTTTTTTTTTTTTTTTTTACATCTGTCAAAAGCAGGAGCGAAGACAAATCCCGGCTGCCTGGTTAAAAAGGCAGCGGGCAAAAGCAACACAATTTATATTTTTTTTTAATCCCCCCCCCCCAAAAAAAAAGCTTTAAAAGATGACTGGGAAGAATTATTACCCACTTAACTCTTTCATTGCCCCTCACTGTGGGAAATTCTTATTAATATGAAAACGATACCCCCATTTTGGGGGGGTATAAGTTGTCAGATACATCGTATTTAAGAAGTTTTGCTGTTTTTATGCTTCAGACTACCAGTGTTTCTCAACCTTGACAATTTTAAGGCATGTGGACTTCAACTCCCAGAATTCCACAGCCAGCTTTGCTGGCTGTGGAATTCTGGGAGTTGAAGTCCACATGCCTTAAAATTGTCAAGGTTGAGAAACACTGGACTAGACCGATTTTGTAAATACGTTCTACTTTATATACTGTATAGGATGGCAGTTTATTAAGCTGGCAGGTTTCACAATACCTGCGCTCATCTTTTTTTAAACGGTATTTCGTTCCAGTCGATTAAACGAAGTGGTTCCTTAAGCAGCTTGCAAAAGAAGTCAAGGCATATTAATTTCCCTCACTTGACAGATTATGAGAAATTAATTTCAACATCTTCTGTGGCGCTATAAGAAATCCATGGTGCGCCACAAAGAACAAGTTTGGTATTTCTACAAATATTCCTTCTAGAAGTGGAATGGGACTCAACTGCCTGTTTATTATTCAATGGCAGTTTACTCTAATTATTCCTGATACTCCTAATAAATACTGTACCAAAAAAACTGACAGAAAAAGTCAGACAGGACTGTCCTAAAATGTATTTCCATTTCCAAATGTTAATATCCTGTTGCTAATCTGCTGCTCAGGCTGATCCTGATTTCAGATTTACTCAAAAATAAATCCATTGAATCCAATGAAAGATATCATTTATTTACATGATTAGTTACTGAGAAACAAATAGCTTCTGTGGCATTTAACTATTAAACAAATGTACCAGGAATGCATTTTAAATGAACAAAAATAAAAATGGAATATTTCCATCTAATTTTGTCTCAAAAATTGTTAGTAGTTTCTAATAACAGTGATTAGATGATAAAATGGGCAAGACTGGAAAGATAGCAAATTGCCATTTAAATGATACTCAAAGCAATCATAAGAGAAAATTGAAAGCATTGAAGTATAATTGAATGGACCAAGAATTTAAAAATAAAGTTTAAGGAACAAAAAAAAAGATTATACAATCTGAAGAGAAACCCAAACAGTTACTACCTAAGTATTGTGAGATAGACATACAGGGATTTTTGCCTAAATGTTTAAAATATGCTTAAAATACATCAATATATCACGAGACTTGAATCATTATAAGATTCAATTTAAATAAACTAATGTTTTGGAATATATGGACACTAGTTTATAACAAGTCTAAATTCAAAGGATGGATTTTACATTATCCAAACATTTAAGCAAGTTTGCAAAAATTGAGATATTATTAAAAATAGATTACCTCAATTAGAAAAGTTTAATTCTAATTTATACATTATAACCAGTGAATAAAGGTTGAAATAGATTTCATGCAGTAAGCATATAAACTATTGTTCATCTGACATTTGCATAAGACAGATTATTACATGTTCCCTGCACAACATTATGAATCTCTATGTACTATCACAGAAATTCTAGCTGATAGACACAATCCACATGGCAAACACTTCTACACAATAAAGCCGATGTGTGATCAGCCACCCTGTAAAGCAGCATTCACATATTACAAAATGTAGACGGCAACATATTCATGTCCAATTTAAGTTACAGTATTTTGCCACTTATGTGGATTATGTGGAGTTAAGTTACTGCATACAAGAACTATCCTTTCAGATAATTCACTGTCTTTTATACAGTGAGTTAAAACTATTAAGATGTCATTCAAATCTCATGGCATACAGGCAATTATGTAATGGCTTAAACTTAACAAATATTGAATGCCAAGGTCCATTACCAAACTCTAAAGTCTTATGGGATACATTAGGAGTGAGATGCCAGCTACAGTTAGATAGCACTATTCTGCCAGCAACGCAGCTGAAGAGAATGAGAAAAGGAATCGGTATGAAAAAAATAGAATCAAAAGCTATTGAAGCATGCCATTTCTGCCAGCTACTAGTCACATCATTTAAATATACTACAATATACAGGACTCTATTTCAACTTACTTTTAATCAGGTGTACTGAATTAGACCATAAATCACAGTTTACAAACCTAACAGCTACTTTCACACATCATGCTAATCCAAGTACCGTGTAAATAAGCCATGGGTTATTTACACCATGGCTTATTCATGAATGGCTTATTCATGGCTTATTCATGAATGGCTTATTCAGCCATTCATTTTCAAAGCCAGAGGTATAGGTAAATTCAAGAAACATTTTTTTTCTAATTCAAAATACAGAAGGACTGTATTATTTATTCTAAATTTTACAGATTTTTCTATAAAGTCACCAGGAGTTGCCTATGAATGATCAAGAAGAATTTCTGATATTAATGCAGGTGACACAGCACTAG